GAAGATCTTATTCTTCAAAAAATTTTTGCAAATATATTTGTCCTTGAAAGTGAAATCAACAAAATTTAAGACACAATTGGATGATCCATGGTAAACTTTCAGGTCACTTCTGGGGACCTCCATCAAGGTGATGACTCTGGGATTGCTCCCAGTACCTTCCTGGGCCACCTATGCTACTGCATCCCTCACACTGATGGACCAGGTACTCCGTTCTGCGCTTCTGAGGACCGAGACAGTACAAGGGCTCTACATTAGCCTCTGAATCAGACTGCTATCTAGGAAGGTGATCCCAGTGCCTGTCCCCTTATGAAGGAAGTTGCGTCCATTGCTTCTTCCCCGGGAGAGATGCCCTGAGCCAGGAAACGGCCATCTCCCCTGTCCTGATCTCTGCTGATTATGAGTCTTGAGTCTTCTCATGGCCAACTGAGGGCTCAGGAAATACAAACAACGGCTGCTGGCCGACTAAGTAAGATACTGACAGCAATGAAAATCCGTCACAGGATGTGTTGTTCCTAATCGTGACTTTGTTAGCACTCAAGATCTTAAAGAGGGATCGAGCACAGACACTGGCCGGAGAAGACAATCAAATATTTATTGATTTTCCCCATCCAAATGGAATATTTATATCCCTCCCAGTAGCTACCTCTCCTTGAATCTGAGAGATTATTCGCTTCACTTCACATGGTCCCTAAGTACAGCAGATGCTGCATCCGGAAAGTAAACCTGAATCTAGTGGGTGGGCTTACACTGCTTCGATCCTGTACCACAAATGGACACCACAGAGCAGGTCAGCTTCTCCAGGAAGTCACCAGCATCCACATCCCTTTCACAGAGGCTCTGAGGAAGGCCCCCAAAGAAGTCTAGCACAGCATTAAGTAACCTCCTGGGTTCTATCAGCCCTAAGTCAAATTCCAAAGACAAAACCGGTATTTGCAAAACTCTCCTTTGACATTAATGGACAGAGGTTGGAGACAGGTAAGGCTAGACCTTCGGTGTGTGTAACTGCTGTTCTAGGGAGGTATCACCTGAAATCTACACCCTGGTAATAGCTTCTACTGATTGGAACACAATCCTGTATTTTCTAGATCTACACACAGGGTATTTTTCTATGTTCCTAAACAACAGTTCACTAAAAAAAAAAAAAAAAAAAAAAAAAAAAAAAAAAAAAGAAAGAAAAACAAAACTGGCAAAAGCTGGATGTTCTAGGCGACTATTTGGGGCTGATTACTTGTTTTTGCTTTTCTTTACAGTTCATTTCCTGGGGTCAGGTAATTTCTTCTTAAAATATTCAGACACACGAGAGACTGAGCTGCACTCTGTCTGTAATACCCATTCTGAGAAAGTCCTCTCTCTATGCTCATTCTCAAAGCCCAGAATATGCAAACAAAGATGCAGTGGGCAGAAGGCCAGTTAATAAATCTCATTTCCGACCAGCATCTGCGTAGAACAGAGCTGTAGGGAGTAGCCTCTCCAGGGAGGTCCAGGCCACGACTCATTCGCTCTTTGAATTAAAGAGTATCACCTCGGATGGCCCTCACCACATTTATTTTTTAAGCAGCTCTTGAAATATACGGATTCCTAACTGCAGTGGGGACGCTGGGGCTGAGGCCCTCTCTTGTGCAATGGGTGTAGAAATGTGTACAAGTGGTTTTCCTGGGTCCTTTTGATACTTGATTGCTTCAAGTGCAATTTCCAACACAGAGGCGATTTTTAAAGGGAAGCTTGCTGTTCTAATTAAAGTGCACAGGGCTTTCAATAATGATTTGTTACCTATCTGACTTCAGTAAAAGTGAACCCTGCTGTAAAAGTGGACCCTGTTTATATGCACTGATATCTCTGACTTCAGATGTCTAGGCCAGGACCACACCTCAGTTTTACAGTGAACAATCTGGTACTCGGCCCAGGGAATGGCTCAGCAGGTGATGGCGTTAGCCTACAAGCCCAGTGACCTGAGTTTGATTCCCAGAAGCCACATGGTGGAAGGAAAGAACACATTCAAGCAAGGTTCACCTGTGACATGTGTATCCACCCACCCTAAATAAACAACAGCATTAACTAAAAGAAAACAGAGTGACTGCTTGTACACAGAAGGTATGTGAGGCATGCCACCATCCTTTTTAGGTGTTCCTGCCTTCTCTTGCCTGCAATGCCAGTGAGGTGAGGAATACTCCAGTCTAAGCTCCTGAAAGCGTTTCTCTTTGGTAACAAAGCATCCTTCCTGTTTACATACCTGCATGTATGTTCTGCAGAGGATGGAACCCAGTGCCTTAGGCGTTAACCTCACATCTCTTTAAGAGTAGAATTACAGGGACTAAGGACGTTAAGAGCAGTGGCTGCTCTCACAAAGGACCTGGGTTCATTTCCCCAAACCTACATGGCGGCTCATAACTGTTTATAACTCCAGTTCTGGGGAATATGACACCCTCATCTAGCCTTGGAGGGTACTACGGGAACATGGTGCATAGGCATACATGCAGGCAAAATAGACATGAGATGAAAACAACAGAACACTAAGACTGCATATCCTTCACTGTAAGAGGCAATGTCAGGAAACAGAGCCTGAGATAAAGGCTGCTGGAGTCTACGTAGGAAACAGCGGAACAGCCAGGAACAGAAGTGACCCTGGTGTGGCCAGGGCCCTCAGTACATTCTAGCTCCCTCAGGAACCACACAGAAAACTTCCAGGCATATCTCACCGTTGAGAGCTACCTCTAGCCTACAGTCAAGGTCAAACTTCCACTTGGTTAAGTCTCTATTGTGGTTTTCAAATTGCCTTCCAAGTTTCCTCAGCAATCAGATGGCTACATTATCCCACTCTTAGGAGCCAAAATAAGGATGGAACACTTCCTGGATAGAAAAAATGTGTCACATTTCTTCCCTTCTCTTAGGTCTCTCCAAAAAAAAGAAAAGAAAATATGCAGTAGTTATATTGTATTGTGTTGCTCATTCACTTTGAAAGAAAGCAAAGAGGACCATCCAATGTGTCTGTTTCCAAGTGTGTCCTGCACATCAGACAGCATAAATGGAACCAACAGCCTCTCCCCCAGCAGTCCTATTCCATAAAACACAAGCACAATGATGCTTCCAATGAAGCCACTTGTTTAGTCAAATCTCTACCCAAATTCAGGTTTTTCTTTCCAAAAACAAACAAACAGAAAAACCCATAAATTATTTAATAACTGGAACAAGTAACTTAAATGAAAAACACAAGTACAATTTCATTTTAAAGCAATAATCCCCCCCCCCTACACAAAGGAGGCCCATTTGACCTTTCTGTCAAACAGTATTTCATTAGCACTTTGAGTTGGTTCACATGAGTAATAAAAACCCAACTAGGCAACTTCCTCTGGCCCACGTGGTAAAATGTGTACTCTATCCTAGGAGCAGCAGCTACTGACATGGCCAGGATTAAATCACTTAGGAAATAAGTGCTTCAAATGTACTGCCTACAAGAACAGTTCAAATGATCGAGCTTTCAAAAGCACCTTGATTTTGTTCATTTTTAAATTCTCTTTTTTAGGCTCACTCAGAGGAGAAAGGTGAGAAAGAGATGGGCTTTCAAACAGCAGGACCCCCAAAAGGCACGTCTCAGAAGCTGGCGATCAACTGTGGCTTGCATTAGGGGAGCTACAATCACTTGAAGTCTGTAAGGATGCTGTGCCAAGTCTATTCATTGGAACCATAAGACTCGAGACTTGGCGACCTCATGGGCACAGCCAAAATTAACTTCAAGTATTTATGTAACTGCCAGAGATGTAACAGGGCGAAGGGTTGCATTCAACCCCCCTTCTTTTGAGTCAACAAATGGTGTCTCAGCTCAGAAAGGAAGGAAGTGGGGTGCTTTGGAGTCTACGATGTGCACGTTGAATCTGAACACAGAAAATTCTGCCTGCGATACAATTTGAGAATTTAGATGGCAGCTGACTTTAAGAGTTATTTCCTGTTGCTCGCTGTCTGGGAGAGCGCCTCTTACAGGTATGTGTGCTCTACTTTAAAGCAAAAGCATCGTTGGTGGTTATAAAGGTTATGTTTAAAAATAACCACCTCAGTACAAAAGAACTTCCAAGGAAATACAACCTAAGCTATCCATCTCCCTGTAAGTCTGGCTGGCCTTTAGCTGCCTAAGATCCCAAGCTACAGTCTGGATCACATTGTTATCCTTATCAAACAATGCAAACAATTTTAATGAGCTTATCTATGGGGACATATTGCCAGATATGTTAATGCAAAAATGATGCCAACCACACAGGCAATTCATTAATCAAAAGGCTCACAATACAATGACTGATAGCATTCCCGTCCTCAAATTAGACTTCAGCAAAATACAAGGAATCACCTTTCTATTTTAAATAAGAAGGAAGGGCTCATCCACCCATGCAGAGGCCATAAAACTCTTCAGAAAATGCATAGCGGGACCGGGTTTCGGTGGGGGTTTTTTTGTTGTTGGTTTTTGTTTTTTTTAAACCCCTAGGTCTGAAATAGTCCAGCCTCTTTCTAATCAGCCTAAGGCTTTCATGGAGGGATTTTAGTGAATGTCTGACACTGTGACCTCTGCTGTCAATCCTTGCGCCAATCAGCGTGCAGAATTCTTACAAAGCTCCATCAATCTGGCGGTTTAACATCACACACACTGCAGCTTCATCTAGAGGATTCCATCTTTTCCTGCATGCTCTCCAGGTTAAGCGCAAGCGCGCTCCTCACCATCCTCCCTTTCTCGCCATTCTCCCGTTTGTTTGCTCCTTTAGTGCCCGCCACCTAATGGTTCCTTTAAATGCTGAAAGGGAAGGAGGAGAGGAAGTGCAGTGCTTGTGTCCCTTCGGGGATGCGGAAAGATGGCATGCAGGGATGAGATGAAGGGAGACCTCTTCCAGGCAACAAACCTATTCACCCGCGGAAGCCTCTATGCTCTCACCCCACCGACACAGGACCCAGTAACCAAGCAATCCTGGCCTCCGCGTTACGTAACGGGATGGACCGTCTGTAGCCACCCGTGCCAGTACCTGTAGGACCGCTCCCCGCGCACTGTATGCTTCCGGAAAGGAATGATGGTCCCGTTATCCTGGATGATGTCGTTGTTGTTCTCGCCATTTGGGGACAAGGTTTGGGTCGGCCCGGGCATTGGCGCTCTCCCGACAGAGGGAACAACACGCGGAGGCTGGCTGGGGCGGAGGGCTGTGTCTCTCCGCTGCTTGCTGCTCACTCTGCAGCCGCGCTCTGCTCCTGCTCCGCGCCCGGCCCCGCCCTCCAGAAGACACGCCTTCAAAGGCCACGCCCTCCAACGTCAGGGCGCCAGCAGCAGCGGCAGCCGCTGGTCACGTGCCCGCTGTCGCCATAGCAACCCGCTAACTCGTCGCCTTGCCTAGGTTCACGCCGAGCGGCGCAGCGTGAGCGCCCTGGGCTGCAGGCTGCAGAGCAAGGGGCTGGCCAGCATCTGGCATGGACCCGCCCTGAGCCCGACCGAGAACCCGCTCTTCCTCTAGCTGCTTCCTCTCGGACCAAGCTATCCTTGCAGCTGTGCACACAAAAGGATTCATGTCCAGGCCTGGGGAGGCTCCAAGGCCCAAGGACAGGAAACGTGGTCAGGTTACCGGACAAACCCACAAAGACCTGGAGGTTTCCTTCTAGAAAAGGTGTGGAACTGAAAGGGTTAAGCCTTCCCCCCACGTCCCCTATTCTCCAAAGCAGCCGCCTCCTGCTTAAAAGAAGCAGAAAAATAAAACCTGCGAGGAAGCTACATTTTCTTAGTCCATACCAAGAGGTCGACCGTTGCAAATTAAATGACCGTGTAAAGCAATTCCCCAAGAGAGATTTAAAATGAAATTATTTATGTAACCACCATTTTACAGTATTACCATTAGAGAAGCCTTTTTAAATTTTTTTTTCTTTATAAAAGCAGGCTCCTGTTAGGTTGAGGCTGGTCTTGAACTTATGATCACTTTGTTCAAATTCCCAAGTTTTAAGGTTATATATGCCACAAAGCTCAGCTGTCGTCTCCTTACCCTGCTGCCCTCTGAAATCACTGATACTTTATTAATGTGTGGAATAAACAAGGGACCACCTCAATTAACATTTGGAAGCTCAACGCTCAGGCTGTTTTAGCAGTGCAATTGTTGTTTGCAAATAATTTGCCTGTTAATCAGGAGCCATTATCCCCAATTTAAAAATGAGGAAGCTAGAAAAAAGATCACACCAGAAGTGGTGAAGCCGGACTTGCAAACAACACATTTTTACCAGTGTGACCACCCACTAGTGATCTGTGATCTTACAAACCTAGATAAGAAGTAAGTGTTTCAGGTACATTACCAAAATATTATGAAGAAATGGCTCTGTCCAGAATTACAAGTACCATGCAAAGTGTGAGAATTCAATAACAGACTTTAAGCAGCCCTCACAGGGGGCCAGTGTTATCTGTTCCAGAGAGAGGAGCGTCTAGACTCATTAGAAAGTCTCTGAACATCTATAGAGTGGAAGAAAATTTGGGGGTATAAAAGTCACCACATGAATGAGGATACAAGCCAAAAGTTCTCAGTTACAGCTATATGGCCTATCATCTTCCCCATTTTGTGATACAGATATTAATAACAAAAATTCTGTCATTCCTGAAAATTCAACAGCCTGCGTCCCCGGTTACAAGTTATTTCTGTCAGGCGTCTGGGATTGGAATCAAATGTTCCACAGCACAGATGGTAATGATAATCTCAAGCAAGCCCCTCCCCATTGTCTATTTTATACTCTACTTTTGTCCAGTTATTTTAATAATTTTATTCTTCTGCTTATTCAGTTAGTGCCACGGACTAAAACTGGTTCCTTCATCTGAACCCATCATATGATAGTTACTGTTCTCATACAATCAGGACCCAATTCTGACACGGTGCTCACTAAGGAACACGAAGAGATCTTTACGTACATACAAGAGGCACGTCGAGTTTCATTCACTTCCAGCTAGCTAAAGGGACCTGGGACTGTGAGCGTTATGATTCCATTCACACCTCCTCTTCCTGTTTCTGGTACTTGACGCGCTTGCTAACTTCTCTCTTCCTTTCAGCAAGACTTCCTTTTGCCGTAGTCAGTCTAAACTTTAAAGATGCTATCCACAGATCAAATGCTCTGTTTTCCCACCATGCCCTCTCAATGGGTGGGGGGAGCTTTCATGGAGCTCACTTTGGTATGATGTCATATTTAAATATGTTAGACATAATTGATACTATCTATGGTGAGGATTAATTTGATCACAGTTTGAATGCACAGTTCATGCCTTTAAATTGATTTCTACCAACAGTTTGCAGAGAAAACACTCCTACCCACCCACCCTTGTGCAGTTGCTCAAGAAGGAGGGGACAATGGCCGACAATTTACTTGGTAGGCTGAAAAGGGAGGAATTGTAAGTCGAGCAGAAGAGGGACTCTGAAGAACCTGTAAATCTTCCTGTATGACTGCTCTGAGCCATGCTACTATAAAGGGACCCAGAGAGCTCCTGAGAGCAGCCATTACCCTCTAAGATGCGGGGGTAACAGGGGTAATAATTTGAAAACATTAAACAGATGCCGTTTCGTTCCTCTCACATAAATCAAGTTACCTGGCAGCTATTCTCCAGTTTAGCCTTGGGGAAAAAAGGAAGGCAAATTCCACTTTGGGGAGAGGATGATCCAATATTGGGAAAAACGGAGAAGATGGAAAGAGACACAGAGAGCCCATCTTTTCAAACAGTGGAATGTAGGAATGAAGGTGCAAACTAACAAACAAAAGGCAACTGGTCTCCCAGTCTGTCTCCTAGAAGAGACATCAAATAGGCTGAAGGTACAGCCAAAATCTAGGGGACTTTCTTTTGTCTCATTTCACATTGAAAAAGTCTAGGACATGACTATCCTTGAAAGAATGTCTCACTAATTCTTTCCATTCCCAAGGGAGGGGCCGCCTGTCTCCGTGGAGACCTCCTGTACTACAATGAAGAGCTCTTTCTTCACCAAGCTCTGGCTCCATCACAGTGAGAACCCTTTCCTGACAAGGTCTGCCCCATCACAGCTCCCCCACCATGTAGTTGCTTGAGGAGAAGGGAAGCTGAGAAGTTTCTGTCTGCCCTCTAGAAAATAACCAGGAGGTTGAGTGGTTGAGGCTTCAGGAAACTGAGATTACGGTAGTGCTGATGGCAAGTGTGTTATCGCAGCAGATGCAGAGGGACAGTAACAGTTCCCAGGAACTCAAATAAGAGAGATAGACAGCTGTGAGAAAAGGGACATGATGGCAGAGCCAAGTCTGTAGGTGCTGCCCAAGAGTTCAGCACAGAATACCAACAGAATGCTTCTGGATGGCACCAGACCAGAACACCTCATCAGGGCTAGACATTGCAAAGGCAAGGACTGCCATGGGACCAGGAGGCCCACCTCAACCACTTTCTGGCTTTCTACACATCCATTCAGTCCCCAGACTGCAGGCAAAGGGAAGAGGCTCTTAGAAATTGACTCTTTTTCCAAGAGATGAAGCCCAAAGGTACCTCAACTGGAAGATGCTGTAATGTGGTGAGCTGGCAAGCTTAAAACTTTCTGGCTAGCTCCCAGCAGACTAAGGGAAGTCACGCAGATGAAAGGAAGAAACAAACTAAAGTGTCTATGTATACCTGACTTTGGATTACACTTTTGTTGTATACACAGAGAGCTACCATAGCGGGGAAACACTCCTTTCACCAAGCAGCATATTAAAATTAGGATTCTGGATTCAGGCAGGCTGGGCTTGTTTTGGCCACTCACCACTATGTAATTTTGGCAACTTGCTTCATATCTTTAAGGTCTTGCTCCCCAATCTATAAAGCAGCTGCAATAATACTGGTTTCACAGCGTTGCAGTGGGATTAAGTTACCTAACACACTGAAAGCACCTGACATTGAGAAGGGCAAAAACTCAGGCTCTGACTTCAAGACATTTCCAGGGCTGAGGGTGATGAGCGGGTACAATGCAGTTACAGTACAAAGGCTAAGATCAGCACTAAACTCAGTGGGACAGCAAAGCGGGGTCTGAGTTCTCTGGACATCTGTCTACTACCATGATACCATGAGGGATAACAATAGTAACCTGTTTTCTTTCTTTCTTTCTTTTAAGACAGGGTTTCTCTGTGTAGCTTTGGAGTTTGTCCTGGAACTTGTTCTGTAGACCAGGCTGGCCTTGAACACAAGAGATCTGCCTGCCTCTGCCTCTTCGTCCAGCAGTAACCTGTTTTGATCACTCCCCATGCAACACCTCCCTTAGGAAAGGGCCCTCCACTGCCTTGTTCATGGTGCTCCTCAAGCGGAGCCTGGCAGGCAGTAGGCAGTGAATGAATTTAATCGTTTATTTGTTCAATGAATTTTTAGGGGAGGAACAGTTTGTTCGCGATTGGATATGAGAATTTCTTGCCCAATAGCTGAGATGCTTATCCTGGAGGCAGTGCTGTCATTAGAGTCAGGATGGAGTGGGGATGAAGGATGGAGTAGACAGGCTTTGACAGAGGCAGGAAGGGGTGTGCTCCCAGCAGGACACCGCAGACTGCTCTGTATGGAGAGAAAGCAGAGTGCATGGCAGCAGCGGCCAATAGGAAGTGGGGCTTAGGGCCAATGCTGAAGCCAAGGCTTCAATCTGAACTGATCTGCAAATACAGAGTAACTCATGATGAAATGTGCATATCAACTTGTGATGATGTTAGCACTATGATGCTCTATTGAAAATAAAACCAGTTCCCAAACCTAAAACAAACAAAACCAAGACAATGAAGACTTAAACCAACAGATCATAGGACTGTAGAAACAAGCACACATTCGCAAATTCAAAGACTATAAATGCTAGGATTTAGTAGATAACTGGAAATGGGCTAGGTGATGGGAGGGAGTTGAGGGTAGGAGGTAGTGAAGGAAACAGGAACTTCTCAGATAGGTCCCAGGCTTGTGGCTTGGCCACCAAGTAGATACTATCATTTGGCAAGCTTAGAAATGCAGATTAAATTGTTCCTTTGGAAGAAAGTTTCTCAAAATGTGTTTTAGTCACAGAGGAAAACCCTATAGGACATGCTATTAGCAGCCAGCCTGTGTGTTAGTCCTTCCATGTTTGTTGAATGTGTGTGGGTCTTGCTCTTATCAGCTGTGTTTGATGTGGCTACACACTAATTTTCGGGTAATTGTCTCCAAAGTGCTTGCTGAAGCTGCAGCCGCTCTCACTTGCGCAGCAAGATAAGACCCTTTGGAATTCCTTAAAAGCTGAGTGACAAAGGGGAGGGTGCAAAAGG